ATGCAATATATAAAATCATTATCACAATATTGCCTATACACACACACACACACACACACACACACACACCTGTCTATAGATTTGTCTCCCTTCCCAGATTATTTCCCACAGTTTTTTGAACCTGGTATCTTATTTCCTCTACCTGCGGCTCTCGGTGTGCAGCAGTCTCTGTGAGCATCTCCCTCTTATTTTCTCATAGCAGCCAGCCTTGGCAGCGGCTGCAGCTACAGCAGGTCAGTCATAGTGAGCCGGTCCCAAATACTGTCAGCAATCTTTACATCTTGTCATGGTCACATATTTGTTTCATCAGCTAATATATATCCTGTTTGTTATAATATCTCTAGTTACAGATCACTTCCAGTAGTATCAGCAGCAACAAAAGCAGCAGCAGCAGCATCCCCAGCAACCCCTCGACAGAAACTGTTCCCTGTAAGTTATGTCAGCCCACCGTGTTTTAAAGCTACATCTGGGTATTCCCTGTGTTTCTTTTTCAAAACTGTGTTTCACAACATTTGTTACGGAAGCATCTGTATACGCATATAATCAAGGAATACATAACAATATATTTCTGTATCGATATTTTGAGAACAGCCCTATTTAAATCCTTGTTCCATGTGCCCCTGTTATACTTTGAGCACCTGCCCTTCCAAAGGTCTCTGCACGGCCCTGGTTCTCCCACACTCTGCAGCCAAGAAGTCTGCCGAAGCCTCCCTCCGCTGCTTGTTTGGGTGGGTGATTTGCAAGCTGATCAACATCCTACCCCTCCTGTTACCCATGGTTTGACTGTGTGTGTATTCAGAGCCAGTGAGCAATGGATTTTCAAAATAATAATAAAAAAAAAAAACTGTGTTAATGTGGAATCGGAGTGTGGAATTAGAGTATGTTAGCTATCAACGCTAGGCATTGTTTAATACAATTTAACATCCTACATAGACTTCACTACTAACGTATTCTCAGAGGTGTCCCTAGTGTGTAAGAAATGTTGTCAGAGGTACTTCATAGCTATGCCTTGCTTGAATCAAATACCTCTTCTTTTGAAGCTACTCAAAATTCTGATAATTCCAGACCTATTTTGATCGTTCTTGGAACTTCTGAGGATTTACAGTAAGTAAACTGCAAACTACTTAGCAGTGACTCCTGTCCTATGGCATACTTAATACAAATAAGCTCATACTAATGTTGTAACATTGTGGTTTAGATTGTATGTGTATCTATTATGTATTTAATAAAGAAGCATTATATTTGTTAGGTTTAACACCCAAGAGCGGACACATACTCGATGGTGGAAGTCTTTAATCACAATAGTTAAGCTGATAGGGGGATGCAGGGCTGACAATGGCAGGAGGCGGGCAGGCAGATGGGTGGTGGAGATGGCTGAGCGAAGATGGTCTGAGTAAAAGACGTGGGGAGTTGCTGGGAACATGTGAGATGCCGGCACTGGAACACTTGAGCACAGGAAAAATGTGGAGGCAACAGTCACAAAAACACTACAGGTTTCACTAAAGAAAATATTTTAGGCTGAGAGCTGCGTTACCACTGAGCAGTAAAAATCTGGCAATGAATGACAGGAGACCAAAAGAATTTAAGCCAGAAGGCTTGATGAGTAGATTGCCAGCAGGTGTGTGGAGGAGAACCAGGCGCCACAAAACAAAAAAATATGCCCACAACACAAACACACACAGACACACAAGGGGAGATTGAAGGGAAAAACACAGCAGAAACACAGAACACAGCTGGAGTCACGGACGAACCATGACAATATTATATTACATTGTTATGTGTGACTACAATGATGGTACTTAACAATAGAAATATTTGAAACAGAGGTAACTGCACTTGGTTTCAAAGCAAGTGTCACATAACAGCAATCATATTGTTGTCTGATATTATCAGAGTTTTAAACCCTGCCTGTCTTTTGTTTGCTGAAGCTCTAAATCAGCTGTTGGTGGACTTGTCACTCATTACAATCTAAGAGTTTCTGATTGATGACCAAAGCACATTTCTTTCACAACTGTCTGGGACAGCACAAAATCGGAGCCAGAGAGATTTATTCCCCAGGACAATAACATTCAACTGAATTCTGACAGTGACAGATAGCTAGAGGAGGTTTCTAGCTACCTGAATTCAGCATCTGAATTGCAATAATCCAGAAAACTGCATGAGTTCTTAGAGCCAGATAGAAGACAGAAGAGAGAAAACTCCTGATCTCTCAGACATTAAAATGCAGAGGCAGTATATGTTGCTATATTTGGGTGTGCTTGGAGCATAGTGAGCATAGTAACGGACAGCCAAGAAGGGGGATTTGCTGCAGGGGATATGGTAGTGCAGCAATATTTTTCTGTATATAATAATTTCATAATTACAGTACGATGAGTGAATAATTAATGGAGTGAGTACTTTTTACTCACTCCTGGAATGTATGTTTTGTTGAAATAGTCACTACATAATTACTTAAGTGATAACATTAACAATATATTATTTCCTGCAGTTAGTTAACAAAATTTTGCAAATGTTGAAAAAAACACATGCATAATGTGAATAATAATTGCTTATTGTATTATTTAATGGCACTAACTACCTTTTTTTTTTTACCACTAATTACCTCACAATTGCCAAATATACAAAGAGCTCGTTACCACACTGAGTGCTATTTATCCTCCCATAACTTAATTCATGTTTGGTCTTTATACTGAAATCGATTATTCCCATGAAAGTGACCTTTCACTGCAGGTTATCCATCATCACTGACATCTGTTAATCCAAAAAATATTTTCTCTTGAGACAGCACTCTGTGTTGAAACAGGCTAATTAGGGCTGAATATTGATTTGTCATTAGCAACAATGTTGCTAGTTTTTATTTTGAGGCAAGATTTTTAGCCTGTTTACTGCAAGAAGCTGATATTAATTGATATGACAGTCGATATTCTGTGAGCAAATTAAGCAAGTTGCTGATTTACCAACGAGGTTGTTAGAGAGCTGGAGATGCATTTTATCACCAAATCCATAATCAGATCTTTAATGGCATGCTCTCAACGTGACATGTATGAGTTTGTTTAACACTGTAAAGCATGGTGATATGGAAACATATAGAAAAGGTTTCTTCGGGACACAACGCAATCCATTCACTGGTTTCTTGGTCAGCAGCTTTAGTGAACATAGCCTAGTATAATCTTTCATTAATTTCCAGCCAAATTCATTTGTAAGACAGCCAGTGCTGAAAAGTAAGCTTTTCATATAGCTTTGTTTTTTTTTTATCCATCCAACTCTACATGCTTGACTTTACACTCATGAAAGTCAGAGCAGAATGAAAGCACTATCTGTCAAAATATCCCTTTTCTGAAAGATGTAGAGAAGTGTGATCAGGTGGTGAGGTAAATGCACTTTTTGTTATTGTTGTTTGTTATAAAATACCATCAGTTAAAAAAGAGCAGACCTTGAAACTTGGCAGATATTACACTATCAAGTTAGTTAAAGTTGGCATGCAAGAAAACCTTGAAACAACTTGACTTTCACACTGAGACATGATTATGTCACCTCTTATGCAGTTCCCTGAGTGGCATCTTCAGGTTCATTTTGAGTGGATAACGGGCTTTTAATCTACTGCAACACAATGTGAAAGGGTAAACACCTGCTTTTAATTAACTAAAGTTATTATTTGTTTAACTTTCAACAGAGGCTCAGCAATGTGAGCACAGCTAAATGTATTGGATGATAACGAAACAGTTAGAGAGCGGGACTGAATATTATAAATGAGATTGTTGCCACACTTTATAACAGTTAGACCGCAGTAAGTAACTTTACTGTAGTGAATAGGTCTTACTCTGTGTTGATGTCCTGCATGTTGCATTATTGTATATTATGAGGGTCACGTTAGTTAGCATGACTGAGACCGGTGAAGAAGCTGTGTACCTGAGTATAGGTAAAATAACAATAAAAGTAAATTGTTACAAAGCAAAAAGGGTGAATCCATGCTACCTTAAGCTAGCTGCCCATGCCTTGCATCACTAGGCAAGTATAATAGGCACATTTGCTTTGTACCGTTACATCATTTCTTGCAGACTAAAATCAACACTTTGACATAATAACAGTGTTCCACAGGATAGTAATATGGTTCGTGTTAGCTGGTAATGTGCAAAGTCTTTTGTATTTTGCACCGGATAACATTAGCAACTGGTCAGCGTTAGCCGGCGAGCTAATCTTATCTAACAACGTTGACAACAGTCAACTAAAGCACAAAATTACAATATGTTTCGCAGTAAGGTTAGTTTACCTGTCCAACAGGGTGAAAGCCAACTCTGCGTCAGTTTTGTCGGTTCCAAAACAAAGCGGTGGTGTTTTTGTGACTCAAGCCGTTCACCCTGTTTTCTCCCAATGTTGATTTGATTCTCATTTGTCCTGACGGCTTCAGCACATACAACTTTATTGTTGGTTTTTATCCTCACATGGAGTTTGTGTTGGAGTTTGTGTTGAAGTGGCGCTAGTTGTTTTATGGTGTTAGTGGACTGCACTTAGTTGTGGTGATGTGGCTGTGGTCAGAGAGAGACTCTGGAGTGCGCATGCAGCTACAACTCGACCCAATACCTTCACATAAGAAGCAGAATAGTGTCTGTTGCAAGCAACAGAGAAAACAGGCGTGTGGTTCATCACTCAGCGAGATTACAGCCCATTGACAAAAAGGAAGTAAAAAAGTGATTAATTACTAAGTGATTTCCCTGTTAGATGGAAAACTAAGCTATCTAATCTATCTAAAAGCATGTTAAAACCCTGTAATTTGTTGCAGCAAGTATCTTACATCCAAATATTTTTTATTTGCTCATTCATGTTCAACAAGGCATGCCTGGCTCCTCCTTCCACCTTGAGTGAGCGGATAGGACAGAAAACTACCAGGAGTGTTCAGGGGAGTGTATCTGTGTGTGTGCGTGCCTGGTATAATAGCAGAGAGAGAGAGAGGAGGGGAAGACCGCAGTAGCTTACTAAGTGATGATCTGCCTGCACTCGCACAGTGAGCTGGTATGCTCTGATCTCTCAGCATCCCATGTTCCCGCTCACTGTTTCAGTCTCACACATTCTACTTTTTTGCTTTCTGCTTCACTCCTTCCACTTATCTTCCTCACATCTTTTTTAGGCAACATTTATTTTAACTTCTTACTACACTGTAATTTTCTCAAGCGTGGAGAGATAAGAGGAGAGCAGTGGGGTTGTTTTTGACTGAGAGTAACAACAGCAACAGATGTTAAATAAAATTGCCTTTCTTGGTGCGAAGGAACACCGGCTAAGATTTTTTTCATTCCCTCTCAAGGGTGCCAAGGTTGTCCTGCAGATAATGAGGATGACTGAGAAGCGCACACGTTGAGATTTTAACACCGACAACGCAGATGGACAAATAACAACGGAAAAAGAAGAATTGACACGACAAGGAATTTAAAAGGAGAAATTATGAACACCACAGAACACCATGGATTGCTCCAAGGCAACCATAACAGGAGCCAAACCTCAGGCATTTTGCCACTTAACAAAGACTTATCAGCTGAGGAGCAGGACTCACCAGCAGGATGCTACGAACAACTGCTGATTTCCACAGAGGTTTTCCTCACTCTGGGCATCATCAGCCTGCTGGAGAACATCTTGGTTGTCGCTGCTATAGTCAAAAACAAGAACCTTCACTCCCCAATGTACTTTTTCATCTGTAGCCTCGCGGTTGCTGACATGCTTGTTAGTGTCTCCAATGCCTCTGAAACTATTGTTATAGCTCTGATCAATGGGGGCAGCCTAACCATCCCAGTTACGTTGATCAAAAACATGGACAATGTGTTTGACTCTATGATCTGTAGCTCCCTCTTGGCATCTATCTGCAGCTTGCTGGCCATCGCCGTGGATCGTTACATCACAATCTTCTATGCGTTACGATACCACAACATTGTCACCCTGCGAAGAGCAATGTTGGTCATCAGCAGCATCTGGATGTGCTGCATTGTTTCCGGCATCCTGTTTATCATCTACTCAGAGAGCACCACTGTGCTCATCTGTCTCATCACCATGTTCTTCACCATGCTGGTGCTCATGGCATCGCTCTACGTTCACATGTTCCTGCTGGCACGTTTGCACATGAAGCGGATCGCAGCGCTGCCGGGCAACGCGCCCATCCATCAGCGAGCCAACATGAAGGGTGCCATCACCCTCACCATCCTACTTGGGGTGTTCGTGGTGTGTTGGGCACCCTTTTTCCTCCACCTCATCCTCATGATCACCTGCCCAAGGAACCCCTACTGCACATGTTTCATGTCCCACTTCAACATGTACCTCATCCTCATCATGTGCAACTCTGTCATTGACCCCATCATCTATGCCTTTCGCAGCCAAGAGATGAGAAAAACCTTTAAAGAGATTTTCTGCTGCTCTCATGCTCTCTTGTGTGTGTAAGCAGATTTTTTTAGTGTCAGCAGAGCCATGTCCCTGACGGCCACAATGCAAACAAAATGAAACTTGCCCAACAAGGTTTTTGAGGTTTTGAGATGTAATCATTGTGGACTGATGTGGCTCTGTGCTCTCGCAATTACTTGTAAATGTTTGATAAGCAGGGCGCTCGCCTGTGGTTTTGTGAGTCAATTTGTCGAAGAGGTAGGTTTACAAATCCCTTGTAAAAATGAGTATTATTGTGTAGACAAATGCTATTTTGCTTTGTAGTAAATGCTGTTCTGAAGTGCAATTTAAAGTAAGTGTTAACAGCATGTATACAATTAATACACATGCTCAACCTGTGGTGCATTTACAAATGCTTTCTCTTTCTCTGTCTGAAATCTTATCTATCTACCACCCTTTTCTTGCTGTTCACTGTAAAAAAAAAAAAAAAAAAACATCTAAAATACCATGGTTGTCTCTACGAAACTGTATAGATTAGGACACTTAAATGTCACAGCTGGCAAAACATAGAATCTAAATGCCACAGTGCATGTACTCTATATGACATACTGGATATCTTGCACAGATATTAACATAGTATGACAGACTACCTCCATGTTTGAGAGTGTAATCCATCGCATAACAGAAAGGGTATTTGCACACCGCAAGCAAGGATACGTATATCTCTAGGATATACTTTTGTTTTGCATTACAGTGAATGTAAAGAAATAGCTAACAGTTACTTTTCATGAGATAAAATGATGAGATAAAAGAGGTTACACCTCACTGATTACCCTCGAGTAAATATCCTGTTAAGCTATAGTGTGCTTTTATGATTTTCAGCAAGTTTGAAATTTTCTTCCTTTGTTAAAAGGATAAGAGCACTGAGAAACTAGATTCTTCTGGAAACAACAGCACAAAAATACCTAATTTCCGCTCTTTGCTGACCGCTGCTTATAATAGCCCACTCAACGTAGTAACCACAGACCGTTTTCTGATGGTTTTGCACAATATTTATTAAGATCCAAAATGCAGTTTGGTACAGATGTAAAATCCCTTACTGAATTAAAAGGGTAAAGACATAAAAGGCTACATATTTACAGTAAGAGTAAATAAATATATACCATCAGTACAGAATGTACTAAAACAAATTACACAAAAGATGTAGAAGAGATTATTTGGAGCATAACTTTGAACTGTCAAAATCAGGAAAAATATTAGTCAGCGTATTTCTCAGGCACAAAAGATGGCACTTTCTGGTTGAGAATTTTTATTTATTTATTTATTTGCACCTACAGACAAATGGAAAAACAATTCAGGGTGGCCTAGAACATTTCTTCTAGTGTGTATTCCAATTTGTTTGGCTCCATTATGGCGCGTTTACACCCTACCTGATCAGGGATGAAGTTTTTGTAGATCCCTACCTCTGATTACCCCTTTGAGTCAGGGCAGCAGAAAAGAGAGTTTTTATCCCAGAGATTAAGAGAAAGTCATTTTAATGTGAGCGCATCATGATTTTCATCTGAGCAAATCGCTAAAACAGACTCTTCACAGACCTACTGTCAGTCCACTCGGACTCATGATACTGTATCTTTTTAATCAAAGCTCTTTGTGGTTTGTGGATATTTGTGTAAATTTGCTCATGTGGGTTGTTCTCACTCTCAGCATGTACATGTCATAATATAGAGATCTATTTTTCATCATGTTTCTGCAACAGATTTTACTGAATGTATTTTTATGTGTATGTGTTGTGTAACTTATTGCTTTCTATCCTTGCCTTAAATATGTTTCACTGTGATGTAAAGAGCAACGATATCCTCTGTGACAGTATTTCAGAAACTGATTGAACTAAATTGAGTCTTTATATGTAGGTAAATGCTATTTTTAATATTGCCTTATTTATTTATGCCTTTTTAAACTTGAAGTGCATATCTAAGCTCATAAAATACACAAGAAAACTGATGTAAACAGTTTTTTTCTGTTTAAAGCTTCGCCTGGAATTTGATTCATGTGTGCTGATATGAAGGTGTTTGCTTGACTACCGTATCCTCTGTGAATCACTGCTGCCAAAGTAACTTCAATAAATCAAATTGCCACCTCAGCAACAGCTCTGTTTGTCAGCTTTCCTCTGGAGTGCAGACTTTAAACTTTACCTAGGTTGATTACGTTTTACTTAAGTCACACAATTCCTTAAATTCAGATGTGAAAACAACCTCACAATCAAAAACAACTGGACTTCTTTAAAAAAGTAAAGGAATATATTCTAATATCACTGAAAACGTGCATTCATTCAAGCACAACTGCAATTCACAGCAGGTTTTCACATGAACCTGACCCATAAATGTGGAAATACAGCAGTTTTTTTGCCCTTAGGTGAGAAACTGAAGTTTGTGTGCTAGAAAAATGTCACAAGTCCTTTGATTCTGTATAACTCTGGAAAATAAATTGTATTCAGTATTGCTGTGGGAGCATCAGAGTGAAAAATAGTAATTTAATTTAATTATATCTTAATAGTTTGTTGTAAAGGATTCATAGAATAACTAAACCCTGGATCTGCAAACAACAGGGATGTTTTCAGTTTTTTTAGTAGTACTCTGATGAAAGAACATCCTTTTATCATTAAATCTATGCAAGTTGGTGGGATGGAAACGAAGAGAAGCTGATGAATTGAAGCGGTAATTTCAAGGTTTGAGAAAACCGATATCTTTTTCATATATATACAGTATATAACTGCAAATGCTGCTATACTACAGAAATGCATTCATGTGTGCAAAATAATTCATTTTATACGTTCAGGCAGTAAGCAATATGCCTGTAAAAGGAAACAAATATGAAATCTATTAAGCAGTGACTCAGCATCGGCTGATTGATGATTTCACCAGCACAGTGTGTATACCTCATGCCGCCGTGGTTAGCTGCTGTACTTCACAAAGATTTTACAAGTCAAAGATTCTGTGCGTTAAGAAAATAAGCAGAACAAGAGGGCATCCAGACGGAGTTACAGGTTTGTGTTCCAGTGGGAGTCAAAATGTATTGATGTATTGGATCATCTATTGGATAATCAGGTGGTAGCATGTTTTTTTAAAACAGCGGTGCACCTGTGCTCGGCTCCCTTTGCCTTTGAGGTATTTTGAGCAGAGACACAGCACTCAGCAAACTTTAGTCCCCCTCTGATTTTGCTCAGATTTTCCTCTAAGCAAGTCCTGTCGAAGTTTTTCATTACCTATATCAACCACTTGCTTTAATACATTTTTTTCTTATCCAACCAATGTTGTTGTTTTCAGTATCTCTCAAGCTCACCTCTTGAGATCCTGGAGCAAGCTTGCCTGGGGGGTTTGTCCACCTAGACAGTGCTCTTAGTACTTTTCTGCAACTAGAGGGCAGGGTATCTCTGCAATATGTTCGGCCACCCCAGCTGCTGGTATACTCTCCTTTAGGCAACATCTATTTTCTGCAGGCTTTATTAGAAAAACAGAAGACGGGAAGCATTCTCAAAACATCTTGTACATTAGTTAACTTAAGTAGAGGAAATTTCAAACTGTAAGTTAAAGAATTTACATAAAATAAAATAAGTCAACACTGACTTTTCGTTTCACACAGGACTTTTTCCTTTCACCCCGACGAACTCCCCACACAGACTTTGTTGCTCTTTATACCATGTCACCTGACATTTTTTTCTCTGACATTTAAGCATACAATGGACACGCTTTCTCTGCACATTATCCAGTCCGGGCTGCTATTGGTGAATGACCTGCACGCAAAATATGAAAGTGTAAAGTTGTGTTATTTGTATGCAAATAGAAGAGACTGAACTATTCATACAGCTCTGACATTCAGAGCTGTATGAAGTGTTTATGGTGGTTCACTGAGATCACAATTCAAACATTTTTGCTAACTTACATGTCTTCTATTTTTCACCAGCGCAATACAGCATGCACGACTTCACAATAACTTCATATATGATGTAGATGAACTTTCTTATCTTCTCTGCTGCATGTCCTTCATTCCTCCCTTGTCAAAACAATGGGTGTTTGTTGAAAAGATGTAGATATCAAGATTGTATATAGACCTTAGGAATTAGAAAGCGAGTTGATATAAACAATGTGCCAGCTTCTACTGCGCATCCAGGTAGGAAGCCCAGATAGGAAATCATCATTATATAAATTATCAACGTTAACTGACCCTGACCTCAACGGACTAGGGCAGACCAGTCGTGATGCCCAAATAATATTTATTTGTGTCCTTTGTGAGTTGATTTTCCTACACACATGAAACACCGACATCTAAAATTCTCTTTCTGGTGTAATAGTGATGTAATGCTTCGTCTCTCTGCTCTTCAGACTGTGTGATATCATCTTTAAACCAGACTTTAAGCCGAACTCCAATAAGCTTGAGCGGTACTACTACCTACTCCAGGAGAGCCTCGCCTGACTGCCTCCCATGTATCAAATACACATTCATTGCTCCACACAGCCAAAGAATCAGCAGATTCTCTGTGAAATGATCAATGCAGTAGTTCTTTTTAGTAGTGAATTATTTTTCCACTTACTTCACAAGTGGAGAAGGTGCTGTATCTTCTTTCTCCTGCGCTACCACTATTTCTTTTTGCATGTGGCCTTTAACGCTGCTTTACCTCTGACTCTCATTGGCTGTCTCTGTTCTTATCATGCAGGCCTCGGGGGGATTTGTGCACAGAGCTGCATGCATCACATTAGACCATGTTGACTCTACTTCTGCCATCCCCAGCCACAATAAATAATGGAATTTACTTTCAAGTCAGGTCCTCTCTGTTAAGTTCAATTAACACACTCACTTAACAATTGGATTGTTAAAAATGCACACGTAGTGTCTGTAGCAGACCTAAAAATTTTTGTTATGCATTTTAATAAATTTGTGAGAATTGATACCCAATTATGAAGATTCATAAAATCTAAATTTATTCCTCGTTTCAGGGCACCACCAGAGTTGTTATAATCCTAGAGTCTCCGGACCTCTAGGTAGTTTTGAATAATTATACAATTATTACTAGTGATCAGTTAGTTAATAATCGCTCAATTATCTTAAATCAGTCAGTCAGTCTCATATCTAAAGGGTCAATTCTCTTGGCAGGAACTAGAAATAGCCAACACACACAGCTCTTGATTATATTACAGTGAATTTATTCTCTAACTAAGGTGATAAAAAGATGGTTAGATACAGGGAACATAAACATTTGCTGAACAATGAGCCTGGAGGTTCGGTTGTGGGAAGCGTTTGACTCATACGGCATAGAAGAGCTAATGAAAGTAAACTAATGCTATAATTTAGGAGTTGAAATGGACATCTGATCACAGAACGTGTGTTAAGTCTTACTGCTTGTCGACAGCCTGCTTTTGGCCTGTTGCACGGGTCCCACGCTAGCTGCCCGATCGTGGCTTTTTGCTAGGGATTCTCCGGGGTTCACCGTGTCTGATTGAAACGCCTCCTCTGTCTGGCAATTCGGCTGTTTTCAGGTTTCCTTCGTTGTAGCTGGCGAGACCACTTGGCTTGGTCTGACCTCGGTGAAGTTGGCTCGACGAAAAAGGCTTAAAATGGAACTTGGTCGTTCCTGAATTAGTCCAGTGTAACTTAACGGACTGATAACTTTAACAAACAAAAGAAATAAAGAAAATAAAACAAACTGAAGGCAGATCGATGTCTCGGCACTTCAGGTGTGTAGCTTCAGGCGAACAAAAGGCCTGTCTCGCTGGCCGAAGCGTCCAGAGGGCCGAGCAGAGTGGAAGAGAGCCAACAGCGAAGAGAAGAGCGCGAAGCGAGGTCGCGTGTCGCTCTTTGTTGTCTGGGGCGTGGTTCCCCAGGGGGCGTCTCAGGTTTCCCAAGGGACTGCCTTTCTAAACTTAATGTCTAAAGAAAAGAAATCTATTTTCACGTATTATAATCAAATATTTTCCACAATCGAACCTCAATGGTTGAACGGTTGTACTGTTCTAGGCATTTGGTAACAGGAAACAATTGTCACATTATTGGTCAGGATATTTATACATTTAACGGCATTTCCGACGAGGGCATGTAATACTTATTTCGTCCACTTGGGGGAGCTCAGGTTACATGAGGAAAGCTTGGATTAAATCAAAGATCGTCTCTCCTTAGGAACTGGGAATATTGTTGATTCATCCTTAAATTCAAGCTGGCGATTAAGAGTATAGTAAAACATTTCTTTGTCATCATTTCTAAAGGAATTTTGTAGGAAAGTATTATGAACAAGCATTGATCTTGCTGAAAATCGTAAACACTGCACAAGTAACTTCTTTTCAGCACTAATATCAACAACAGATAGCAACAACAGTTAACATAACTACTCAAATAGAGGCAAACGTAATCAGGTAACTAAAGATTTAATTAAACTTAATTAAATGCTTTGAGTCTTTGGAGACTGCAGTCCTTTTACATTGAAAGTTCGGCTGTCCTGGATTGTGTCACACTTGGGTGAGACAAGGAGTATCCCTTTGATGTGGTAATAAATAAATAAATAAGCTGGTTCGTGTCCCTTTGTCAGTTTAACAGTCAGGCCCCGCGTTATCAGCTTCGGAATCAAAAAGGTGCCAGTTTTATGGTCGGGATAGCACTTAGAGAAAGCAACTTTGACCCCTCCCCCTTCTTCTCTGGGGAGGAGAAAGGAATTTAGAGTAGCTCCAGATTTATTCAATATAAAATGCACAAATCCACACCGTTGTTCACTACATGTCCTTACTTCTAAAATAGCAATTCTCTGGCAGAAATTTGCCATTGCGAGTAGAAAATAATTGCCCTCAATTCTTAATTATGTGAGGGAGGGTTAGTGGAATTTGCTATTATTATTATTAATAAGACATTAATTTTTAGCCATTTGAAGACAATATATCAAATATCAGAAAATATATCAATTGACCTTGTAGTTGAAAAAAATCATCAAGTGGCAGTGGTGGAATGTAACTAAGTATATATTTACTCAAATTCTTTACATAAGTACAAATTCAAGGTAATTGTGCTTTACTTGAGTATTTCCATTTTATGTAACTGCAAATGTTGTACTTTTTACTCCAGTACATTTACCTGACAGTTAAATTTATTGT